AGTTGTAGACAACAATACATGTAAGCAATCAAACTGTAGCCAAATGAGATGTAAACAAACGATGCTGTAGGCAATTGATTTGTAAGCAAAAGGAGTTCCCTTATTTTATATTCGTATTTTATATTCTTTATATTTTTATATTTTATATTTTATTATATTAAAATTTATTTTTTATTTCAGAAAAGTATAGCATTTAACCAGGGAAAATTTCATGATCTTTTGGTAGAATATTTAGTTGACAAATATTTGCCATTTAATTTTTTTGAGGATAAAGCAACGACAAATTTATTTTTGTTTATGAACAATCATATTGTTCTACCAAATAGGAATACTATGCGATCACTGGTTTTACTAAGTTTAAATATGCTCAAGACGCTATTAGATTGATTTTCAATGAACAAGTAAATCAAGATCAAACTAAAATATCATTTACAATGGATGGGTGGACAGCAATATCGAACAAATCATTTTATGGAATTACTGCTCATTACATTGATTGCAATTGGAAAATTCAGTCCTTCGTATTTGATTTTATTCCTGCAAAAGGTCGACATTCTGGTAAAGAAATTGCAGCGCTATTTCAAAACACTATAGCAGAGTACAATATTAATTCATCAAAAATTCAAGGAATAACTACGGATAATGCGTCCTCAAATTTTACATTTGTGGATCATCTGAGCACCTTATTAGAAGATTTTGACAGTAAAAATAAACACTTCGTGTGTTTTGCTCACATTTTAAATTTATCGGCACAAGACTTTTTGAAATTACTCAAAATAAAAGATGATTCTTCTGAAGACGAAAACGAATTGGAAGAGGAAGAATGTATTGATAGTGACGAAATGAAGATTGATGGCTCACCAGTTACAAAAATAAGAATGATAGCGAAAAAATAAAACGATCAAAGCAATTGCAGGAAAAATTTCGTAATTGCTGTGAAACAGCAAATGTTAAAATGTTAATGCCAATTATAGACGTTTGTACCAGATGGAACTCAACCTTCCAAATGATTACCTGGTCTTTGAAAATGAAAACTCCGTTGAACATACTATGCGATAACAATGATAGTTTGAATAAATACAGACTTACAAATGAAGAATGGGCCCTAAACATCTCGGTAGCAAACTACTTACGTCCATTTCAATGTTTATTGACCTTACTTTCGGGTGAAAAATACTGCACGCTCTCAATGGTTGTCATTGGTATTAATCTATTATTAGACAAAGTGGAATCATGGGCTCACGAACTGAATAATAAAAATGATAGATGTGCAGTAGATGAATTTGAATAATAAAAATGATAGATGTGCAGTAGTTGATTTTTGCCCTGCAATCAGCGAGAGATAAAATTTTAAAACACTACAAGAAATCTAATTGGATGTATTGCGTTTCATTAATACTAGATCCTCGGCATAAAATTGAAGTTTTTGATAAAACAGCGTGGGGAAAAGACTTGAAAGACCTATCTGTGGTAAAATTTGAGGAAATATTTAAAGAACAATATTATATTGACCTTAATAGCAACAATGGCAATAATAGTACCGATCAAACTGCAGATATAAATGAATTTGATTTGGACGTAAATTTTTTATTTTTAAAAGAAGAGGATCGCGATGAAAGAAATTACTGGAAGAAAGAGCTTACGCAGTATTATGCAATTCCTCGAGTTGACGAAAA